TTTTTTTTTTGCAGTGTTTGCTTCAAGTTCCAGTGCAATGCTTTTAAGTGCATCACTATACTATAAATACAATTTTTGTTTGTTTTCACAAACACGTTATTTTCTGTGGTAACAGACGGCGTGTCACAGATGTGGCTAGTAGAACACAAATTGCCTTTCATCTAGAACTTTCCTTTAAAATGCCTTCCAGAATTTCCAGCTCATCCAGACAGACCTTCACAGCAGGGAAGATGTGACTTCAATGAAACAGAATGTAGAAAGAGCTTCCTACTCTGATATCTGATTCCCCAACACCCCGTGCACACAGACACACGCGTTCACGCACACAGACCACAGCGGGACTGCCTTTCAAACAATAGATCAAATGTTATTCTCTAATTAGGTGCCGTATTACCCATTGTCTTTTACAGTATTGGGGTTCTTTGTTTGCCTGCATGCTCACGTAATTGTCAATGCAGTGTTTTCTAGCCTTGACGTTCTAATGAGCTCCTCTGCGTTAGAGCAGAGAATAACCAGCTTCTTTTCATCTCCTCGCCCAGTCAGACCAGAGGGAGGAAGGAAAACAGTTAGTTTGGATTGAAACTGACAGTCGGAAAGACACGTCATGCTCTTCAAACAATGACTCTGAACATCTTCAAACGGGCCAGCTTTAGGTGTTCACAACTTTATATTTCTGCCAACTTTGAAGTGGAGTTTCTGTGGATTTAAATTGAATTTGAGGAAGGCTCTGCCTGTTTTTGTCAAGGGCTTTTGAATTAAACTGATATCTCTGCTTGTATTTCATAACCTTGAATATATAAAAGTCCTTCATTTAAGAGCAGATAAGCACAGATATAGGGACAGCCTGGTCAATTTATTTATTTTTCTCAGGTATGCCTCACAGAATTATTATTAAAGGAATAGTTTTCCTGAAAAAGAAAAAAAGTTTTGTCATCTTTTACTCATCCTCTTGTCATTCCAAACGTGTATGACTTTCTTTCTTCTAAGGAACACCGGAGGGGAGTTTTTTTTTTTTTTTCAGTTAAAATGTGGAACAATATTTTCACTTTTGGGTGAACTATTCCCAAATTATGTGGAAATATTAGTAGAACGCCATAGTACAGATCATTTTAAGTGAATTATTTACGTTTGCATTTGCATAATTTCGCAGTATTGCACAACTCTCTGAAATATTTGATTCTGTTTAGGCAGTCACAGAATTCTGTGGTCAGATATTTTTGTATAATCGCCACTAAACTGTGTAATAAGTGGGATATTGTACAGTTAAACTGGTCGATATGCTAAATAGGCTGTATAGATGGACCTTCATGGTCCTGGGTCCTGATTTATAATGTGACAATGACTTGTTAACTGGAGGAACAGAATGCTGCGGTTTGGATGACTTGCTTTTATTTGTACAGTAATCACTTCTAAAAAAACTACAGTAATTTCTTGTCTGTGTTGCAGGGGGAACCAGGCCTGCCAGGTCCGGGAACACTCTCGGTACGTATCTCACTGCATGTTATTTCAGAGCTCAATGTAGAAACTAACTCTTTTTAAATGAAACATGATCTGCATTATTAATCATATGCATTAAGCACTGAAATGAGATTTATGGAGAGTCATTGCTAAGGTTTTAGGAAATGGTTAACATGACCAATAGCTGACACAGATGTGAGACAGGTGCTCCAATGGTGTGTAATGATGAGTACAATCTTTATACAACAGCAAAAACAGGTAAACAGAATTTCAAAGCTGAGAGAGAATTCATTTTATTAACCTCACCTTCAGCTCCATTCAAGGATGGCCGCTTTCCATGATCCAGCCAATTCCTGATGAAGCAAATAATATTACAATTGTTTTTATTTTTGAACTTGATGATTTTCTCTGAAACCGGTTGCTCTGACTTTTTTTTTTTAAAGCAATTAATACTTTCAGCAAGGATGTATTGTTGATCAAAAGTAAAGGCATTTATAATGTTACCAAAAATTCTATTTCAAATAAATAGTTTTCTTTTGAGCATTCTATTCATCAATGTATCACAGTTTCCACAAAAAAAATATTAAGCAGCACTAACAGTTTTCAACACTGATAATATGACATGTTTCTTGATCACCAAATCATCATATTAGAATGATTTCTGCAAAATGATGTGACACTGAAGACTGCTGAAAATCTAGCTTGGCATCACAGGAATAAATTACATTTTAAATTCGAAATTGTAGTAATATTTCACAATATTTTTACTGTATTTTGTCTGAATAAATGCAGTCTTGTTGAGACTTCTTTCAAAAACAAACGTTTATGCAGTGTTGTAAAATGTGTTGTGATCTTTCATGTCGATTTTAATACTAAAAATACTGCATTCACGCTCTTTATCTTCAACTAAAGAAAATAAATTAAAATCAAAGAAGAGCCCACACATGCTCAGTCAGGGGCAACCAACAGCAGTGTGGACAGACTGTGGAGGTTAGACGTGTCCTGCAAGTAGAGAGCTAATAATTCCACACATTAAATGAGGGACACGTCCAACAACATCTCATAAGACACCAGAATGGGATGTATGCTCTTTGTGTGAGAGGATATAGTAATAAAGGTCTGCCCCTTTATGTAACATAAACAGTAAACTAACCCCAGCGGAACTATATCAGGGTGTAAAAGTTATTTACTCATGCTAATTTTACATTTTATGAGGACAAGCAGGAATACCAGGGATTCAAACGTGAGAGCCGACAACACACTTGCCATATCACCACTCCCTCTTGTAGTCAAGTTGTAAATCATTCAAGACTAAAACATTTAACAAGCTTTAGCGGCTGAAATTCTTGATGTTTAAACAAATAGCATATAGCTGACATGTTGAACGTTTGATTTTACGTTTCGGGTTTTTAATATCCTGTTATGGATGTTGGTGTTGTAGACATCTGTCGCTCGTATTTACGACCTCTAACATCACAGGCCGTCTCTCCCCAGTTACATTTTGACTGTTTTAGGAGCCTTTAAAGCTCTTGCTCTCCTACTTTCACCGAACACAAGGAGTGAATGGCTATTTTTGCAGCTGTTCCTAAGATGTGTCAGTATTTTTGAGGATGCCAGCTGAAAGATGACACCACACTGTTTTGCTCTGCATCTGAAAGGCTGTCTGTGTGTGTCTTGTGTATATGTGACTGGTCATGCGTTTTGTCCTTTCAGTGGGTCATGTGCTGTAATGATATGTTTTCCTGACCTTTGTTCTAACAGTGTTAACAGCTGAAGTTAATTGCTGTCTTTCTTTGATGAAACACATGATAATTTGTCCTCTGTTTTCTCCTAGGTTGAACAGCAAGCTCAAAAAGGGGACCAGGTAAAAAATATTTTTCTTGAGAATTTTATTAAAGTGCTTGTAAGGCAGCACTAACTACTGAAACCCACATTTCCTAGATTTTCCTGGAATTTTGATGATTCATAGCAGAAGCCTGTTGCCTTTATTCAGTGTTTTTAATTAAGCACAGCTAAAAAGATCTGATGGTGCTCCTTCAGAAATTTCTGTTGCTATTTCAACTACAACTCCTTAACGCACAGACTCAAAATCTTCTGTAGCTAATTTCAGCTAAGCTATTTTAATTGTTAGAATGTTCAGCAGGCAAAATGTTATCAAAAATATTAGATATTAGAAGGATCATGTGACACTGAAGGCTGGAGTAATGACTGCCTGAAAATTCAGCTTTGCATCACAGGAATAAATTACATTTGAAAATATATTAAAACAGAAAATAGTTATTTTAAATTGTAATAATATTTCACAATGTCACTGCTTTTACTGTATTTTTTAAAAACAAATGCAGTCTCTGAGCATAAGACTTCTTTCAAAAACATTTAAAAAATCTTACGAATCTCAAACTTTTGAACAACAGTGGAGATAATAAAGCTTAGCCTGAAAATGTTACTTAAACTGAGACAAATTTGGGTGTTTTAAAATATTCTGAGAATCTGTATTTCTTTTGTGTTTGTGTGTGTGCAGGGTCCCTCAGGAATTCCTGGAGAAAAGGTAAGCATATTAACATTTTCTTGAATTTAATCATTTTATTTTTTTGTCTTCCATAATGAAGTTTACCCATGAGCTGCAACATGCTGTTTGAACATCTGTCTCTCAGCACTTTAGTAAGTGCCTGGCCGGCATGTAAACCCGTCCAGGCAGAGCCAGCTGCTATGTCCTCATATTTAACATTAATGTTGCTTCTGGATGTAATCATGTTTTTGGGGGCATTAATGACCATGGGCAGGTGGAAACCTAGATCCGGTCCAGCCTGCTTTATGTGCTGCAATACTTTCTGAAAACTGAAACCCTGAACATTTTTTCCCATCATCCCCAGGGAGACGCCGGCCTGCCCGGTCAACCAGGAGCACCAGGGAAAGAGGGCAAAAGGGTGAGTAAACCGAAGCAGGTCGCCGCCTGTGTGGGCTGGATCCATGTTGCGTGTATGTGTTTGTGTGACCGACCCATCAGCGAGACAAGCCTTCGGGAGTGACCCGGCAGCAGCTGGAATGAGAAAAAAATCAGGGAGCTCTGTCTGGTTAATTTATTTTATTAATTAATTTTTTTTATTCATGAAAATTTGCTAGAAATTACAAAGCTAGAAATGTACAGCTATGTTATCTAAATCCACATAAATTCATTAAAACAATTTTGTTGGAAGCTATAATGAAATCATTCAGACTTTTTTACAACTTTTTTATATTTTATTTTGATATTATTTATTTATTTCTGAATGTTTGACAGAAATGAGAAATTATACAGCTACTGTATCTAACTCCACATAAATTCATTAACACAATTTTGTTGGAAAACTATAACAAAATCATAAATTTGTTTGCAATTAATTTTATTTATTTATTTATTTTTAATTTATGAAAATTTGCTAGAAACTAGAATGCTAGAACTTATATATCTATTTAACTCCACATAAATTAATTAACAGTTTTGTAGGAAAACTATAACAAAATAATTTCAAATTTATTTGCAAGGCATACAAATGGTTGTACAAGATCAGTGAATGTAATATTTTGGAACAGTTCTGTCATCTGGCCTGAAGCAGTTTTAAACTGGCCCCGAGCCAGCAGATCCATCCTTATTGTTGAGCTGTGGTATTATTAGTCTTGGATATCCAGACATTTGGCATATGATCTGGTGTAAAGTGCAGCTTGTTCTGGTGGAGAACAGCCAGATAGACCAGGTAGAGCCGTTTGGTTGACATAAAGTGACCATCCACAGTTTTTTTTTCTCTCCATGTTTAATGCTGAGATTATCTGAAATAGATATACTATGAATGCCAAAAAAAATGTTTAATCAGAATTTTTGTCAGTCCAACATTCAGTAATATTTCACAGATATAACTCAAAGGGAATGTTCACCCACAAAATGAAAATTATAATTTACGCACATTCTGAGATATATTTTGTCCATACAGTTTTACAATTGGGTCCAATGTTGTTTGGACCCCAATGTTCTTCAGAATATCTTCTGTTTTGTTCTATATAAGAAAGTAAGTCATACGGGTTTGGAATGACATGAGGGTGACTAAATAATGACAGAATTTTCGATTTTGGGTGAACTATTCCTTCAAAGCAGAATGTATGGTTCTGTAAATGATGTCTGAAAAAGCTATCTCTTTTAGGTTGCTCTTGGATAGTACTCTCTCTCTCTCATAGACCAAAACAAGAAGTGTACTTTCGAGGCACAATAACCCATATGCATTTTCTACAGTCAGTCAGTCAGCATTTTATTAAACTTTTCTCTGAAACGAGCACAATGTTGTTGTTGCCCTACCTTTAGTGAGATTAAAAGGCCACTACAAGCACATGACCTTTTATGGAAAATTCTGAAAATAATGTCAGCTTCTACCATCATGATTCCTCTTTAATTGGTTGTTGTTACAGAAAAAAGCTGTTTAGAATCCAGACACTGTGTTCTAATGATCTTGTGGATGGCACCCCACAAATTCATTAAATTCTCAGTGCTCACAAGGGATCGCGCTAACGTTTACCACCCACGCGAGATAGTTTGCCCAAAGACTTAGACTGAATTATTTTCCGTCTGCCATTCAAATCAGTGTCAAGTATGTTGTTTTGTTGCAAAAGACACTGTTTGGCCCTATATATAACTTTTGCTTTGATGACTGCAGAGCTTCCCAGCGAGCAGGGATGTGGTAAGGTTTCGGGTTATATTTGGCGAGTCACATGCAGCCGGGTAACTTGTTGAGCAGGACTGCGGCGCTCTGCACTCTTGGAGGCTATTTGGGGAAAGGAAGGACATGGGTCATTATTACTGGCCTTCTAGACGAAGACGAGCCTCTGCTGGCGAGAGACTCTCACCCAATTAGCAGCTCTCATTTTCCACACCACTGTCGGGCATACACGGCTGCCATCTTTGCGGCAGTGAATTTTTCGCTGCTAGTTAGGGTAGATCTTTGGCCTTTGTCACATGTCAAGTGTTAGCATTTATTTGCATGCATTAATTTCTCCAGGCAACCAAGAGTTTACAGTATTGACAATGTACATGTAAGCAGCGCAGTGTTGTGAAACAAAAACACAGTTGCATGTACAGTTTTGGTGCCCATTTTTTTGCACATCTTGCTCAGAAATCAAGAGAAGACTTGTTAAAAAGAATACATTATATGTTTATATATTTAGGACACACACACACACACATATATCTATCTATCTAGGGGTGCGCAGACTGACCACCAGGGGTGAGTGAGAGAATGATTTTAATCTGTGTGCAAACATGCAGGCCCATCCACCTCACTTGAAAAGATAGGAAGTAATATTTTTTATTTATTTATAACTTAAACTTTGATGTTTTGTAATATACAGTCAGGGCTTTACATTAATACCCGCCAACCTGCCAGAGACGGGTGGATTTCAGGCAGTGGCGGGTAGCACGGTCACTGCCACCTTAACGGGATGAATTTTATATGCAGTAACAAAGCCCGACATTAACGTTTGTCTGGGCCAATTGGATTTTTTTGAAGGGGCAAGTGAAAGGGAATTTTACTTGCCCGGCCGGACAATTAACCTGATTAAAACATCTAACTAGGGAAGCACCGAAATTTCGGTGAGAATGATTCTGATTTTATTACATTTTGTGTAAACGCGATTTATAATGGATGATGTATTGACAGTAACAAAGTCGCAGCAGTTGAAGCTCACGCAGCCTGTCTGTGTGTGAGATAATCTCGTGGAGAAATCGAAACAAATGAACACAACTGCACACAGAAGAAACATACTGCGTTTGGAATGACATGAGGGTGACTAAATAATGACAGAATTTTCGATTTTGGGTGAACTATTCCTTCAAAGCAGAATGTATGGTTCTGTAAATGATGTCTGAAAAAGCTATCTCTTTTAGGTTGCTCTTGGATAGTACTCTCTCTCTCTCATAGACCAAAACAAGAAGTGTACTTTCGAGGCACAATAACCCATATGCATTTTCTACAGTCAGTCAGTCAGCATTTTATTAAACTTTTCTCTGAAACGAGCACAATGTTGTTGTTGCCCTACCTTTAGTGAGATTAAAAGGCCACTACAAGCACATGACCTTTTATGGAAAATTCTGAAAATAATGTCAGCTTCTACCATCATGATTCCTCTTTAATTGGTTGTTGTTACAGAAAAAAGCTGTTTAGAATCCAGACACTGTGTTCTAATGATCTTGTGGATGGCACCCCACAAATTCATTAAATTCTCAGTGCTCACAAGGGATCGCGCTAACGTTTACCACCCACGCGAGATAGTTTGCCCAAAGACTTAGACTGAATTATTTTCCGTCTGCCATTCAAATCAGTGTCAAGTATGTTGTTTTGTTGCAAAAGACACTGTTTGGCCCTATATATAACTTTTGCTTTGATGACTGCAGAGCTTCCCAGCGAGCAGGGATGTGGTAAGGTTTCGGGTTATATTTGGCGAGTCACATGCAGCCGGGTAACTTGTTGAGCAGGACTGCGGCGCTCTGCACTCTTGGAGGCTATTTGGGGAAAGGAAGGACATGGGTCATTATTACTGGCCTTCTAGACGAAGACGAGCCTCTGCTGGCGAGAGACTCTCACCCAATTAGCAGCTCTCATTTTCCACACCACTGTCGGGCATACACGGCTGCCATCTTTGCGGCAGTGAATTTTTCGTTGCTAGTTAGGGTAGATCTTTGGCCTTTGTCACATGTCAAGTGTTAGCATTTATTTGCATGCATTAATTTCTCCAGGCAACCAAGAGTTTACAGTTTTGACAATGTACATGTAAGCAGCGCAGTGTTGTGAAACAAAAACACAGTTGCATGTACAGTTTTGGTGCCCATTTTTTTGCACATCTTGCTCAGAAATCAAGAGAAGACCTGTTAAAAAGAATACATTATATGTTTATATATTTAGGACACACACACACATATATCTATCTATCTAGGGGTGCGCAGACTGACCACCAGGGGTGAGTGAGAGAATGATTTTAATCTGTGTGCAAACATGCAGGCCCATCCACCTCACTTGAAAAGATAGGAAGTAATATTTTTTATTTATTTATAACTTAAACTTTGATGTTTTGTAATATACAGTCAGGGCTTTACATTAATACCCGCCAACCTGCCAGAGACGGGTGGATTTCAGGCAGTGGCGGGTAGCACGGTCACTGCCACCTTAACGGGATGAATTTTATATGCAGTAACAAAGCCCGACATTAACGTTTGTCTGGGCCAATTGGATTTTTTTGAAGGGGCAAGTGAAAGGGAATTTTACTTGCCCGGCCGGACAATTAACCTGATTAAAACATCTAACTAGGGAAGCACCGAAATTTCGGTGAGAATGATTCTGATTTTATTACATTTTGTGTAAACGCGATTTATAATGGATGATGTATTGACAGTAACAAAGTCGCAGCAGTTGAAGCTCACGCAGCCTGTCTGTGTGTGAGATAATCTCGTGGAGAAATCGAAACAAATGAACACAACTGCACACAGAAGAAACATACTGCCTATGGCCTAGTTAAGCAAAATAACACAACCAAGAGAGTGCAGTTTTTCCTGAAAACCAGTATGATTGCAAATTTGACATTGATTTTATACAAGAGTTCAAACGAGTAGTTTGAACAGTCGTGCATCTCTGAGCAACATACAGCATTGTTTCGTTACTGAATGATTAAATGTTTTTTTTTAATAATTTGAGGCAATGATTCAGTGGTTCATTGAAAAAGACAGGCACTTGCTTCATTCTTGAATGAATCAGCCGTTTGAATGAATTGTTTGAATGAATACCTCAATTACTCACTCATTAAGACAATCACTTTACTGGCAGTTTGCATCTTTGCATCTTTTCCAACATTTCATATTTATATATTCATATATGTATATATATATATATATATATGTATGTATATATTAGTGCTGTCAATCGATTAAAACATTTTTACTAATTAATCACACGTTTTTCTGAAATTAATTGCAATTAATACCATAACATTAAAGTTTTTAAATATACTTTTATGT